GGTGTTAGTTCTAGAAAGTCTTGTAGGTCTTCATAGGTTTATTACTTGGAATTTTAGTTTTTAAGAGATACTGTTATTTATTTTTACATTCTCTTTCTGATATTTTTAGTGTAAAGAAATGGAACAGATTTCTGCATGTTAGTCTTGTATCTGCCTACCTTGCTGAATTTGGTTATCACTTTTCTTAGTCTTTTTGTGGCGTCTTTGGAGTTTTCTATATATAGCAGCATGTTATTTGCATATAATGATCATTTTATCTCTTCCCTTTCAATTTGGATACCTTTTATTTCTTGTTCTTGTTTGATTGTTGTGGCTAGAACTTCCAATACTACATTGAAAAGAAGTGGTGAGAGTGACCATCCTTGTCTTGTTCCAGATTTTAGCAGGAAGGCTTTCAACTTTTCACCATTCAGTGTTAATATTGGCTATTAATAAATAGCTTTTACTATTTTGAAATATGTTCCCTGTATATCCACTTTGGTAAGAGTTTTTATCATGAATGGATGTTGAATTTTTAAAAAATTGTTTAATTGGTGGAAAATTGCTTTATAGTGTGTTGGTTTCTGCTGTACAACAGCGTGAATCAGTCATATATATATCCCTTCCCTCCCTCCCCTCCTCCCATCCCACCCCTTTAGGTCATCATGGAGTGCCAGGCTGGGCTCCCCATGTTATTTACAATTTCCCTCTATTTTACACATGGTTGTGTATATACTTCAATGCTCCTTTCTTAAATTTGTCCCACCTTCACCTTCCCCCTGCTGTGTCCACAAGTCCGTTCTCTACCGGGTTCATCAGTACCATTTTTCTAGATTTCATATATTTGGAGTAATATACAATACTTGTTTTTGCTTTCTGACTTATTACTTCACTCTGTATAAGAGGCTCTGGGGGGGGGGGTTGAATTTTGTTGGATGCTTTTTCTGCAACTATTGAGATGATCACCTGGTTTCTGACTTTTATTAATGTGGTGTATTACATTGATTGCATATGGTGAACCATCCTTATGAACCTGGGATTCACCACTTGTATGATTTTTTTTATGTGTTGTTGGATTTGGTTTGCTAATAAGTTGAGAATTTTGGTGTCTATATTCATCAGAGATACTGGCCTGTACTTTTCTTTTTTGATGATATCTTTGTATGGTTTTGGTATCAGGGTGATGGTGGCTTCCTAGAATGTGCTTGGAGGTGTTCCTTCCTCTTCAGTCTTTTGGAAGAGTTTGAGAAAATTCCCAAGTTTCTCAATTTTTTGTGTGTCTGACAGAAGTTTTATTACATTGAAAAAGGACAAAGTTTCTGACAGAGACACATAGACATCAGAAGAGGGGACAGAGAGTGCCCCTTCTTGATAGTCTTAAAGGCCTTATATACTTTTACCAGACCCACTCCCACAACATACATCTTAAATTAACAAGATTAGAACTAACAATAGAAAGGTCTTACCAGCCCCACTCCCACATAAGATTAGTAGAAAGTTCTTGTTACAAGGAGAAACATATTCTTGAGCAAGATACATTGTTATTATATGAAACATGTCCTTGAGCAAGATACATCTTGTTATATAATCATTAGTACTGGCATCTTAAAGAAAAAAAACACCCTTGAGCAAGATGTGTTGTTTTGTTTTGTAATCATTAGTTCTGGGCTGAAAGAAAGTTAGTCTTCAAGATTATTGTCATAACAACTCAGAGTTTAAGAAAAAATGTCTTATGTGACTAAGTAAGTGAAGTGGCTCAGTCTTGACTCATGCAACCCATGGACTATAGCCTACCAGGCTCCTTGATCCCTGGGATTTTCCAGGCAAGAGTACTGGAGTGGGTTGCCATTTCCTTCTCCAGAGGATCTTCCCCACCCAGGGATCGAACCTGGGTCTCCCGTGTTGTAGGCAGACACTTTAGTCTCTTATGTCACTAAGACAAAGCAATGTAGAAAAAATGGTTTGTTCTTTTCTCCTCCTTGAAAGCCCTGGACCCCTTCCTCCTTGAGGGCCCTAAACTCCTTATCAACCTACCTAAGAATTAGCTCTCTCATTCCCCCCTTTTTCTTTTAGGAGAATTATGTTGCCAAGGGAAAGGGGTGGCATTCTCATTTCATAACTTCTTCGAGCTGGTAAGGGAGGCAGACAGACCCTAAATTGTTGAGGCAGCATATTCTCCTAATGCTCATATTGAGGGTTTCTGATCCAGGGGCCCCAAGTAATAGTTGGAGGAGGCTGTAGAAATTGTAGGGGTATGAACAATTATTTGTAACCTAAAAGCTTTCGGACAGCTAGAAACAAACCCTGTTATACAGTTACAGATGTAAGGCAAAATAGTCATTAAGCCAAGTTAAAACATAGTGAAAATTAAAAGTCACATTATGTCCATAGTTAAGGTACAGTGTGTTATACCAGTCCATCTTAGGATTGTTAGATGTCATCAGATCAAGAAGGGGTATCACATATGATTGTTGTTGGTGAAAGTATTTGCAGAGTTGAACAAAGTCCTTTCCTTGAAGCAGAGGAACCCACCATGTGAAGCCTTTCACCGATGAGGACGTTGAAAAGCTGAAAGTTTGTCTTGAAGATCCCAGACAAGCCCCCAAGTTGATTGAACAGTGAATGGTAAACAGTGTGTCAGATTAGTGATCTCCAAAGAAGATTTAGCTTCAGGATTAGGGACCAGGCTTGATTATTCAGAGCTTTTGTGTGGCAGAAGTTCTGTTACAGTGAAAAAAGAGAAAGCTTCTGACATAGACATCAGAAGGGGACATAGAGTCCCCCCCCAAGTTTCTCATTTTTTTTTTCACTTATTCTTAGGTATTTTAGTGAACTGTCTTTACCCCCAACTTGTCTGAAGCATTTATTTCTAGTATTTTCACTTCTTCTAGCAATTTCATTGTCTTTGTTGACTTTATTGGATTGTGGTATACTGATGGGTATAGAGATAAGTAAGTAATAGCTTTCTGCCTTCTGGCTTGTACACTTAGCAGATCAACCTTATCCCTTCTCACCAAGATCAAGTCTAGTGTTACAGGTTGGATGGTAAGAGGACACTGTGTGAACAAATCACAAGTGCTTTTGTGGGATCTGAAGAATGTGCTTCAATTCTGCATGAGAAGTGTTTGTTTACATATATGTCATGTGGCAGAATGTGGCTAAAATAGTACTAACTGATTAAATATTTGTGATCTAACCTGGACCTTAGCCATCACACAGAGTACTTTTGCTGTGAGCAGAGTGAAAGAGTGAAAAGGAAACATTTCTCCCAGCTTGCCCCTGCCCTCAAGCATTGACAGCCCCTTGAACATCAAGAAGGGACCACTGGGACTTCTCTTGCAGTGGTGTGGGCTTGAGGACGTAGCTCACAGGGGTGAGGTAACAGACCTTGGAGCCAGATTTGCTAGGTTTGTACCCCAGCCCCAACATTTAAGGGCTCTATGGCTTTGGGCAACTCAGGTCAGTTCAGCCACTCAGTTATGTCCAACTCTTTGCGACCCCATGGACGGCAGCATGCCAGGTCTCCCTGTCCATCACAACTCCTGGAGTTTACTCAGACTCATGTCCATTGAGTTGGTGATGCCATCCAACCATCTCATCCTCTGTCGTCCACTTCTCCTCCCGCCTTCACTCTTTCCCAGCATCAGGGTCTTTTCCAGTGAGTCAGTTCTTTGCATAAGGTGGCCAAAGTATTGGAGTTTCAGCTTCAGCACCAGTCCTTCCAATGAATATTCAGGACTGATTTCCTTTAGGATGGACTGGTTGGATCTCCTTGCAGTCCAAGGGACTCAGGTAGCATGAATTTCATCAGCACAGAGAGAAAGTTTCAGTGAAAACTCATTGCATGTCCCACCCCTCAACTCAGATGCCCTTCTAAACCTCAGACCTATGTAGCAATGGGAATTGAGGTTAAAACACAGATGCCACTAATGTGCATACCAAATGACATAAGTCAATGACACCAGTTCCGAGACCTGTTTTGAGCCCAAGCAGTGGTCCAAGTCACACATAGGTCACATTGCTTGATCTAGCAAGAGATCAACCTCAGAACAAGGCATTTTTGACACAGTTTCACCCAGTGAAAAAACAGGTGGCTAATCTGTTTTTTTCCCTAGTAATAAATGAGGATCATTTATTATTTAAAAGTGGGGTGGGGTTACTGTTTAGAGAACTTCTTCCTTCTGGTGCTTCAGGAGGAGCCTCTGTCTGTTCAAATCATAAAACATCCTTCAGATCTTTTGTTTTCTTAAGTCAGAAAATGCTGAGTATCTTTTCTTTTCTCTTGTACCTTTCTTGCTAAAAGGGCTTTTGTGGTCGCTCAGTCAGTAAAGAATCTGCCTGGGTTTGATCCCTGGGTTGGGAAGATCCCCTGGGGAAGGGAAGGGCTACTCACTCCAATATTCTGGCCTGGAGAATTCCTGAACAGAGGAGCCTGGCAGGCTACAGCCTGTGGGGTTGCAAAGAGTCTGATACGACTGAGCAATTTTCACTTTTCTCACTAAGGTGTTTATCTAATGCTTTGAGTAGTTTAAAATATTTTTCTTATAGTACTCTTTTATACAGAAGTGATTTTCCTGAGACAGGAATTGAAACATGGGTTTATGTGAAGGACAGTTCTGAAAGTAAAGCTTTAGCTTGCCCAATATATCTAGTTATGACTAAGAATAGCATAAATAAACACATCCCACAGATCATCTAGTCTCTTCACAAGTTCGCCATTAGCCTCATTATATTTTCACTAATTTCTTTGAAAACAAAGTGACAAACTCGATGGGTCTGGGTTTTGCGTCCTTTCTCTACTGTTCGCCTTCAGATGTGGGTACAGTTGTGTCTCCTTGGCCAAAGCATTTTGGAATAAAGGGTCCTGACACCGTGACCAGCATGGAAGATAAAGCCCATGAATGTGTCAGGCCCTCGAGTTCTGGGGCTCCGTCCTGATGGTTGATTAGTGAGAATAATAACTCAAAAAACAACCAGACAGTGAAAAGTACTCATATACTTGTGTGTTTTGATCTTTCAAGGCAAGCAGAGTGCTGGTGGCATCCCGTAATTTTGCAAATGATGCTACTTTCGAAATTAAGGTAAGAGGTGTTTTGCTTTCTGTTGAAATTTTTTCCACAGGTAGATGTTGATGTGTAGTTTTACCTTTGTGATAGAGCATTTTGATAATCATGCTTTTTCACCATCTCATTCCAAGTGTTCTAGAATCAAAGATGCAGAGGAGTTCAGCAAAAATTAGAATTTACTCCTTTTATGTAGCAGCTTGTTGGTAGTTTTGAGCAGGAGCTCAAGCTAAAAAAAATTAAAGACCTACTCTAAGATTTTAAATGTAATTTGGTAAAAAGTTTGAATAAGAAGATTCTTAGAATGATTCTTTGAAAGTTTGTCTTTGAACCTATAACTCAGTTGACCTAGAGGTTTTCAATGAAAGTCATTAAATATTTCCTTCTTCCAAAACCCCATTTCATTGCACAGTGAGTTTTAAGAAGAATCAGAAGCAATGTGCAGCCTTTCTGATATGCTTGTCTGCTGGTGTTCAAGTTAAAAAACAGTAAAGATTGTAAATATTTAACTATTTTGAGTTACAGCTTAAATGGGTTGGCAATATTTACACTGTAGTGACTGAGGGATAATTGTCTGATTTCATTTCAGAAATGTGATCTTCACCGGCTGGAAGAGGGCCCTCCTGTCACTACAGTGCTTACCAGGGAGGACGGGCTCAAATACTACAGGATGATGCAGACCGTTCGCCGAATGGAGTTAAAAGCAGATCAGCTGTATAAACAGAAAATTATTCGTGGTTTCTGTCACTTGTGTGATGGTCAGGTGAGTGGTAGTTTTATAAGAAACCTATGTTACTTTGGAATTTAAGTATAGTGTGTGTTTTTTGGCTGTTACCCTATGTTACTTGTCTGAAGGATTTGAGGTTGGTATTTTAGAACAAAAATGAAACTGTGCAGACCTGCTAGGATGGTTATGCTAAAGAATTCAGTCATGTATCACACTGCTGATTTCCTATTCCACTATGGCATTACAATCACCTGCACTGGATATACTTTTGGAGAAAAGGGTTTTTGGGTTTTTGTTTTGTTTTGTTTTGTGGGTTTCTGACAAGGTTTATAAAACCAAATGCCTACCAGGGACCAATTAGGTAGAATAAGTGAGTGAAGGCTGCCAGTTATATGAAGAGTTGAGAATGGTGACAGGAATTGGTGGTGAACTGGAACAGACAGGTCCCACCTGCAGGATAAGTTATAATGATACCAGCCAGTTGGTGCCATGTGAAAATACGAGGCTAATGTTTCCTATTGTTTGTCTTCGAGAGAAGACAGAAGTCTCCATTTTCATGTGAAATTCCCCCAATATTTTGATGTAGACGTCTGATGGAGGATTTTCTCAAGTTGCCGTACAGGCTTAAAAGAAACAGCATATATGTGGATTGCCAGTTTATGGCTGTGGCTTGGCCTTTACCCTTTTTTCTGGTGAAAAAGGAGCTACTTGTTGTGGTTATGAATGCGTTCTAGGCCAAATGTTTCATAATAGTCAAGGAAGCCTGTTAACTAGAAATGTGTACTGTATTGACTCACTGATGCTTCTTCCTTGAATGCAGGAAGCTTGTTGTGTAGGCCTGGAGGCTGGCATCAACCCCACAGACCATCTGATCACAGCCTACCGGGCTCATGGCTTTACCTTTACCCGTGGACTCTCTGTTCGGGAGATTCTCGCAGAGCTTACAGGTTTGCTATTAACTTACAAAAACGGGGAATTGAGTGAATTAAGTTTTCAAATCTCCAAGAAAAGATGCTGTTTATAACATTAAAACTTTTTTAAAATTAAAACCTTTTTGATTTTTTTTTAAAAAGCTGAGAAACCAGGAAAAAATAACCTCTCCCTTTGGGTGCTCTGGTACCTCTATCATGTTTTTGAGTAAACTGACCATTTTTGAGGTTATCTGGCCTCTTGGGTTAAAAAGGTCAGCTCCATAAAATCAGAGTAGTGTTTATCACTCAAGCATGCCAACAGAAATCTAGTAGCCAGGTAAAGTAAATTGAGTATAAGTATTTCATTGTGTAGAAATGAAATTGTAGAAGTCTTCTTATTAGTACCTTTGTCCCCCTTGACTTGTACACTAATGTAGGAGAAATTGGAAGATGTTTTTAGTGGGCCAAAAAAAAAAAAAAAGTCTAGAATACCACACTAACATCTAAAGAAAACTTGGTGATTTGAGAGCTGGAAAGATTTATGGGACTGGTCTAACCTTCCTTATAAAAGGGCCAGGAGACTAGGAGGACTATATATTTACTTTGAGGGACATGTGGTTATATAGTCGAGTTGGTCTCTTGATTTCTCACGGTCAAGCCGGCACAAATACTTGCAATATGGTTTTGTTTTCTATGTTTGGTGTTTGATATGTCATGTTTGTGTGCTGCCATGTATAGGACGAAGAGGTGGTTGTGCTAAAGGAAAAGGAGGATCGATGCATATGTATGCCAAGAATTTCTACGGAGGCAATGGCATCGTGGGAGCTCAGGTAGCTGAGGACTGGGATTGCATCATTTCCTGGGTTGGGCCCTAGCCCACATCTTTGCAATATTTTGTACCCCGGAGGATGTCTCTGAAGTACTTGGGGGGCATGATATGTTTTAAACGACCTGTTGCTTTCATACTCTATTATTGGGCCATTTAACAGAATTGGACAATGATTTAAAGATTTTCCTTTCTAGGTATTTGCTGTCTTAGAAGTAAGCAAGAGCCTCTAGCAGTGGCGCCCCACCTCTGTCTTTGAGTTGCTATTAGTACCTGGCTGCGTGGCCACACCTCCTGGCCACAGCCCTCTCCCTGCTGCAGCGCAGGGCACCCGGAGAGGCGGAGCTCAGGGTCTTAAGGGCCTAGTGCAAAGCTGAAGCCAGCTTGTGTGGTGGTGCCGTTCTCTTCGTTCTCGTCATTTAGTAAATAATGAACAAGTAGAGCTATAAAATCATATCTAGATTGTTAAGTTTACTTTCTAATATATTAAGGTTTTAGCATCTGGGGTTTTGTTGTTTGAGGTATTTTTTTTAACCCTTGGTTTGCTGGGTGGGTGCTTTTAGGATTGATAGTTGAAACTTTCAATGTAGAAATGTTATTGCTTAATGGTTGAAATAGAATACAATAATACAATAGCAGTTACTTGCCAGTTTACAATTTTGGGGGTGGGGTAAGCAGAGATAGGGTTGGGTAGAGAAGAGTTTGTAGGGACCATGTCATTTCTATCTCATGTTCTGGTCAGGAGCTAACGTTCGTAGCATTAATTTCTTCCCTCATGGATTTCTGTGGTTCCTTTCTTGCTTGTCCTCAATATTAGGTGCCCTTGGGAGCTGGGATTGCTCTGGCCTGTAAGTATAATGGAAAAGACGAGGTCTGTTTGACTTTGTATGGTGATGGCGCTGCTAATCAGGTGAGTAAGTGCCTCTTAACTTTGCAGTCGTGTCCAAAGTGTTGAATATTCATAGTTCAGTTTGTGGCCAAGCAGTGTATCAATTACTGGTTGAAACGGCCATTTATATGGCAGGCTAAAATTTGGTTTTGTGGCCACATTAAAGATTTACATCTTGGCACTGTTTCACAAGCGATTTGTATGGGTGTACTCTTAAGAGGATGCACACCTTTGTTCTGTGTCAGTGCTCCACAGACTCTGTGGTGAAGGACTGGTTTACATTGTAACCCTTTGCAAACCAACTCCTCAACCAGTACTGTGATGTGCAGACTCATTCTCTTGAATGCCAAGGCATTTTCAGACTCCTTTCATAGTTTTTGAGCCCTGACTCTTCCTACTCTTTGTCACGGTCTGAGTAATCACCGGTGTGTGGCCGACATTCTGTGAGGCCTTGCTCTGGATGCTGATTCTCAGACACGGGTTATCCAGAGAGTCTCATAGGATTTATAATCGAGCATAAACCCCAAAAACTAGGTAGCTGCAATACATTTCTACATGTTGGTCTTTTCCAGTGTACTCTATACTACTGTGTCAGCTCCACAGAAGCAAGTAGAAGTATTTGGTTTGTCACTTCCTTAGGTGCAAAAAGAGATGAGTTTGCTGCAACACACATACACACATACTTCTTTGCCTCAGAATCTGGGTTGTAGGTGAGGCATTTCATCTTTTATTATGAGGGCTTTCTCTTGCTGGGTAGAGCAGTGGCTTTTGGGGATGATAAAGTTGAGAGAAAAACAGCACAATGAAACCACTTGAACTTTTTATTTGTACTTCCAGGACAGCACAATAAAACCACTTGAACTTTTTATTTGTACTTCCAGGGTCAGATATTCGAAGCTTACAATATGGCAGCTTTGTGGAAATTGCCTTGTATTTTCATCTGTGAGAATAACCGCTATGGGATGGGAACATCTGTGGAAAGAGCAGCAGCCAGTACTGATTACTACAAGAGAGGCGACTTTATTCCTGGGCTGAGGGTAAGGACACCTGTGGTAGAGCTGGGGCGGCACTCTTCGCCCGACGGCTCACATCAAAGGAGGGGTTCTATTTTCTTAGTGGATGAACAGGTCACAGGAAAAGAAAACTATTTTAGGCAGTTGGAGTTAAGCTCTCCCCTTTTTATCTTTGAACTTTTATGAAGTATAGTTGATTTACAGTGTTGTGTTGAAATCTTTCCTACTTATTGGCAGGTAGATGGAATGGATATCCTGTGTGTCCGGGAGGCCACAAAATTTGCAGCTGCCTATTGTAGATCTGGAAAGGTACGATTTTTTTTTTTTTTGGCCTCTAAGCTAGAGATTTCTAATGGCATTTATCTGTCTTAAAGTTGGAAGAAGTGCCTCCTGTGTCCATTGTGGCAATTTAGGGGTAGCTGCTAATTGAGGTGTATAAGATAGAAGCAGGATCCACTTGAGTCAGTCGGGTCCCTTTATAAATAACATGGTCTTGGTAGCTCACATCCTAGGAAACATTCCATGTTTCCCCCATTTGGGGTAAATCTTTTCTTCCAGTGTTCCCTCAGCATTCTACCTCTGTCTTTGTTGTGACAATCTATTTTGCCTTTTGGTTCATTATGTGCCTCCACACCCCCCCACCCCACCTTAATGATAAGCCCCTTGAGTGAAGAGATTAGGGACTCCCACAGTGCCCAGCACAGCACTGTGCTTAGATAATAGGCATTCAGTATAAGTTTGTTTTCTATAGATTAATGTTTAAATTATGTAGTCTTATTGTTTTAGTCCTAAGGATCTTGACCTTTCCAGTTACAGCAGTGGAGGGAGAAGGGAACAGTGAGATGGGCGTAAAGAGAGGCTTACCTGCTATTTGAACTGGTGGGAGGATGTTCTCCCTAAATCACTGTTCCACAACCCAGAAAGCAGACCCCTAAGATAATAAGTCCCTCTTAAAAATAGGGAGGATGAAAGATGCTGTAAATAGGTATTAGAAATGAGAAGAGATAACTGAGTCAGTCAACTTAGAAGAAATTCTTGCCAACTCAGATCTGATCAGAGTAGTTGATAGGGTGTATATTTGAGGCTATGACCATTGTCTCACCTAACCTCCACTGGGTTCTGTTTTAGGGGCCTATACTGATGGAGCTGCAGACTTACCGTTACCATGGACACAGCATGAGTGACCCTGGAGTGAGGTAGGGTAAAGGAAAAACAGTGTGTGGTGTCCAAAGTAGATGGGCTTAGAGTGGTACTACTTACATGAAAAAGCAAGAGCATTTCAAAATGTACTTTTGAGTCCAGACACCAGTTGGCTTCATGCATTGATTTAGTAGTTTAGTCTGAGCCTGAAAACAGTGCTTTATAATAAGTTGGTTCCAATCTAGAAAGCATTCTGGAAACTTGTACACTATGTATTGTGTACATGTTAACATGAGTACCAATAAAACAACTGTAGGAAGGAATTGTGAGGAATTGTTACCTAAAGCAGGTCTGATGGTAACAGTAGTATAGTTGGGAGCATTTACCTTTTGTAGGCATTGCCTCAGATGCTCCCAGGGCATATTCCTCCATTTGAAAATGTTCTTCTGGCTGGTATGGTGCAAGACCAGGTAGCAGAAGGGATATTCCATGTGTTGAAATAGATGTGTCAAAAAAATATAGTGACAAAAGTCCTAACTCCAACATGAAATGCTGCAGTCCTGGAGTGTGGCATAATTAAAGAGTAGATTTAGATAAAGCAAGCCATAAGAAGTCTTTAAGAGTGTAGGCTAAAGGTCTAAGGGAAAGTGTTATGAAGAACGACTTTTATGGGAAAAAGCACTTTGTGTAATTCTGCTGTTTAAAAAACAATGGTAGAGCCTTTGCTTTTAGTATTATTTCAGATAATGTAGGACAAGGATCAACTATACATTCAAGAATTGGAAAACCTCCTCTCCAGGTTTTTGCCAGCCATGCTGCTCTGGGGTCTTAAAGGAGAAAGGGAAGGCGCACTTTTTTCCGGGTTAGCATTCTCCCGCCTCCAAGGTTACAGCTATCACCCCAGAAAACCATCTCCCCTGGCTTCACCCACTTAGAGCCTCCATCACTACCTTCATGCCCTACATCTAGATTAAAGAAGCAGACAGCACCTGGGCTCCTGTTGTCAGAATGCCAGAGAAACCCAGAGAATTGCCACTGCAGAGTTTAGACAGAGCAGCTCTTACAGAATGTTAGGATGCGTTCTTGTATTTTGAAGTATAATTCTGCCCTTCCTACGGAAATCTAAGTATTGATGTGGTGCTGTGTTTCACAGACCATCTGCTCTACTGGAACTGTTCTTACTTGTCACTCTGGTTCCCTCCCCAGTTACCGGACCCGAGAAGAGATTCAGGAAGTTAGAAGTAAGAGTGACCCTATCATGCTCCTCAAGGACAGGATGGTGAACAGCAATCTCGCCAGTGTTGAAGAATTAAAGGTACACTTACTCCAAGGGTTTTCAACAGTTGCCTCTCTCAAATTTTGAGCAGTTTTTCTCTACACAAAAAGCTGCCACTCTTAGGTGAACTAGGTGAGTAAAAGGGAAAATACACATGGTATTCTCACAGGGCATTCCTTAGTCATATTGATGAAGCTTTTAAACTCCAATAGCACACTTCTTTCCTGTAAATACATTTGAGGTTTTTAAATGTTCCCTCACCAGGATGTATGTTTCTGTCTCTGCTTCAGAGTATTTCTTCGTGGATCGTTGTTACTTTTACCATAATGGCACCTTAAGTACACTTCTAGTGCTAGTAGAAGAGTTGAACTACTTGGTATCTAAGAGGTGTATCTTCAAACAAATCTCTTGAACTGTAATCTGATTTTTAGGAAATCGATGTGGAAGTGAGAAAAGAAATTGAGGATGCTGCTCAGTTCGCTACTGCTGATCCAGAACCACCTTTGGAAGAGCTCGGCTATCACATCTACTGCAATGATCCACCTTTTGAAGTCCGGGGCGCAAACCAGTGGATCAAGTTTAAGTCCATCAGTTAAGGCGAGATACACACACCTTCAGCGAGTTCTTTGGCAGCAAGTGTAAGGAATGCTTTGTGTTCTCAACTTTGTCAAGGAGGAAAACCCATAGAGAGAAGGCGTGTAGATTGGGATAGTGTTTGCATGTGGTTTGTACAGTGTTGCATTAAAAGAGGTGATAGCACACATAAGGTTATTTTAGTTCTATAGGTGTAAAATAGGTAATAGTTTGCTTAACCCTCCAAATTATTTCTTTAAAATAGTTCTATTTGATTTAGTTGTATACTAGTTTTAACACATACTTTAGTTACTAAGGGCTTCCCTTGCGGTTCAGCTGGTACAGAATCTGCCTGCAATGTAGGAGACCCCGGTTCGATTCCTGGGTCGGGAAGATCCCCTGGAGAAAGGAAAGGCTACCCACTCCAGTATTCTTGGGCTCCCCTTGTGGCTCAGCTGGTAAAGAATCCGCCTGCAATGCAGGAGACCTGGGTTCAATCCCTGGGTTGGGAAAATCCCTTGGGGAAAGGAAAGGCTACCCACTCCAGTATTATGGCCTGGAGAATTCCATGGACTGTATAGTCCATGGGGTCTCAAAGAGTTGGACACGAGTGAGCGACTTTCATTGTTACTCAGTTTCCAAAAGGAAAAACGATTCCTTGTATGTCTGTCCAACTCTGCCACCACCTTGTGGGGGGATCAGTGTCCTGTCCCTCGCAGTGCCCAACAGCTTACCTAGTGTACCCTAGTGTGCACACATGCCCCTGTTAGTGTGCACGTTGGTGCTGAAGCCTGTTCACACTGAACCATCATTTGTCCTTAATAAAGCACGATTATTTATTATAACTTGGCAGGGGTGGGAGGACAATTCCATGTTTAAATATAACTACTTCATTTCAATGGCCAAATTAGTTTTCTCCATTTATACATTCAATATAAATATGAAGCTATTTTCTTAACAGTTTCTATTTACATTCATATCAAACATTATTAAATACAAGGCAGAGTCTTATTGATTTTATCTTTTTCTAATTTTAAGTGCAATTCCAGTTAATGTATGGAATGTATAATTGAAACAGTGATTCCCAGCCTTTTTGTTAAACATTTTCCCATAATTCTTTAGAACTTCAAGTTCTTAAATCTGTTCAATGAACAGTGGTGTTTTCCTTGTGGAATCACAGCAAGATTGGTGTGTATGTAACAGAAGCTTTAACAAAGATGTCAGCTCTGGCTTCCCTCTATCCCCCACGTGGCTGATTATTAAGCCTCATCTTGGTTTTCCGGGGCCCCCTGAGTCCGTCTTCTGTACTGGGAGACTGCAGTCCAGAGCCTGCAGAGAAGGCCACCGCTACGAACAAACAGAAGTCTTCCTTAGAGTGAGTCATAAGAAAAGATAACTTCAAAGCAGTACCACACAATACTTCTTTAAGAAGCCCTTATGGCAAAAGCTATAGTATGTACTTTTAGACTTGCCTAGTTTTGCTGGCTAGTCTTAAAAATGCAGTCTCTAACTTAAAAACTAAAATAGGGATATGTTCCCTTCACATATGGAAGTGAAATTTCTACCCAAGCACAAGTGGGATGTGGCCTTAGAGGTATGTACAGGAGTGCCAGGGCATCTGTGCTAAGTAGGCTATTAAAGATGACCAGTGGAGGAGAATGAAAGGGTTAGGGTGTAGCCTGCTGTCAACTCCTGTCTTTCCTCATTCCACTCCCAGCCTGGCAGTCTGTTTGTTGACTTTGCCTACTGGGCCTTTAGCTTCTGCTCCCTCTCAGCTTTTCCCCAACTTTACCCTTGGAAGCTCCAGAGTTTGGAATGAGGTTGGGTAGTTTTTGTTTTCTAAGGGAAAGGGGGAAAGTTACCAGCACTTTGTTTTCTACTGCTTTTATGTAAAAGCCTATCCACACCAAAAAAGCCGTTTTCTGTTACACAAAATGTTTTGAGGCTATTCTTACCGTAGTCTAAGGTACCTTAGGTCTTCCTTAGTGATATCATTAAGAATATCAGACAGGGTGTAACCCTCTTCAAGAATCTGAAACAAAGATCACATACATCAAGAGCTAAGCAGCCTTGTAATAACAGCCTAGAAATGGTTTGATTCTCAGCTTACCTTTTCAATTGTTCTCGTATCTGCTCCTTGCAGTTGCAACCAATCGACAAGCTCTTTATCTGTTCGCTGCTCATGAGACCCAGGAGGGGACACTGAGTTCTCTGTAATGATTAGAAATGTGTTATGTTGTATACTGATGTGTAACAGTAAAAGTCTTTGAGTAGCAAGTTGGATGAAATAAACTATTCCAGAATGTAATTGTGCTGTGAAAAGGAAATGGATTAAGCTTGAGCTCAGCTACACACTGCATAAGAGTCCACAGTCCTTGGTGTCACTTTACTGAGATTAAAGGTATCATACATAAATATTTTAGTTAGTTTGGAGTTTGATACGGTATCTACCACTTTAAATGTGTTTTCCAATCTTTAAAATTCCTTTTCTAAGGAATAATGTCTCTTAAAGTACACTGGAATTCAAATGAGGAGATAGGTTTCAATACTGAGTTTTGCATCACAGCTTATCCACCCCACATTCCAAGAGGCAGCTGGAGCCCTTGTGTAGGTGGCACCAATTGCTTAAGGCTGGTTGACTGAGGTATACCTTAGTCAGTAAACCACCCCTTTTAGGTATGCAGTGCTGAGAACTTTGCTAAGCACAGATAAGGAACCACCACTACAATCAAGATAGAGAAATTTCTCTATTACCCCAAAGGTTCTTGGGGCCTTCTATAATCAGTCCTCCCCCACCCATTCTGATTTCCTTTCTGTCCCTATAGTTTTGCTTGAGTATCGTATAAATGTTCAACATTTATGAAATCATAACGTGGGCTTCTTTGCAATTCATCTGCTTTTGAATGTAGTGGTAGTTCGTTTTTATTATTGATGAGTGTTCTGGAATCTACTGGAGTACTTAATGGTTTGAGCTGAGAATAACCTCAGCTGTGTCAGGGCTGACTAGTAGTCTAGCCAGATTTTAAATGGTCTCACACACATAAGTCACAGCAAGTGGAAAATCACTCACCGTTGGAGGTGAATTGTAACCGAAGGTGGTGTAATTCTTGAGTTTTCTGTTCGAGGATGTGCCGTAGAAGATTCTGGTACTCTATCTCTTTTTGAACTAGGTGTTCCAAAAGTCTAGTTAGAGCAAAACAAAACATCACTCAGAGAGCCTAACACCATTCAACTCAACTCAAACATCTGTTGAACAGAGGTTTAAAAAAATGGCATAATCCCAGGTGTAGGGTCAGATTTCAGCCTGCACATGGGCACCTTCCTTGGGTTTCTGCCCCTTGTAAACAAAGGCCAGCACTGCTCAGTGTGGGTATCTTCTGTATCAAAATGCATCATAAACCAAAAGATAACCTGATGGTGATCAGGAGAACTCAGCCCACTTGCCTTCCTAAGTCAGGTCAAGTTGTGAAAATGTGGTGAAGCTATTCCCTCCCTCCTCACTGGAGACTACGTCAAGATAGAAGCCTTGCTGCACTTGGACAGCTGGGGGTGGTGCAGGAAAGATGCTGCTCGGAAGGTGGGAGGGACACTACTGCCAACACTTACCCAGAGTGGCACTAAAATGCCTTGCACTCTTGGTCTCACCAACACTCCTTGGGACAGACCTGCTTCCCTCCTCAGGACAGCGGGTGCCTTCCTGCTGAGCCTAACAGCAGCTAAGAGGTCCCTATGCTACAAGGCGCATGAAGCAGCCACGGGCTCATCAGCTGTTCCCAGTCAGGCTGGCTGCTATCTCATTACTAATTCTCTTGAGGGGGGAGATACGGTGCCCACTGACCCTAGAAATCAATCACCTTTGAATCCATATATAACGTTTGATGGATCAGGTGATTATTAAAATTACTGGAAAACCATTTTAAAGAAGTGCTATGTATACTGTCAACTTTCACATTTTTCAAAACAAAAAAATAGATCTAACAGAGAACCCTATACAGGGGTGTATACAACTTTTCTTCTGAAGTAGGGACACCCTATTGTAGCCAGGAATGCTCTGCCTTTAAAGAAAGGCATCCTTCTAGGTCCCCAGTTGAAGCTGAGAATATCCCCTTGCCCAGTTCCTTGGGGGATGAAGATGACTTTCTGAGACCTGGGTGAAGCACTCAACAACTCTGTCCCACCCCTGCCTACCTGCTGGTCTCCTGCCTCAGTTTGCTCAGCTGAAAGCTCAGATGCTGCTGGGGTGGGGCCTCCTGGGCAACTGCTGAAGTCAGCTCGCTCCATCCACGGGCCACCTGTGCCTCACTCGCAGGCGGGTCTGCCGGGGGATAGTCCTCTTCCATCTCATCCGTGTCCTTTTCCACGCCTTCAGTCTCTGAGGCAGGCTCAAAGTGGGCTTGGAGCTCTGAAATCATGGAAGAAAAGGAGCACAGTTCAACAAGGCCATGCTTGGTGTAGCTTATGTCCCAGGCCAGCAAACCAGGCTAGGGGGCTGGCCCAGCCAACGCGATGCTCCATCAGGAGACTGCTGACCTTAATGAAGGGAGAGGAGACTTGTTTTACCTCTACCTGAAAAGATGGTCCCCACACTGCTTTACAGATAAGGAAACAAACTTCAAGATATTAAGTTAGTTAGGCAAAGGCAGTTTTAAAAAGGGACAAGCAGCCTTCCACCCAGGCCTGTGTGTTTTCTGCAGTTCCCTGCTTGGAGTGGAGAGTGATGAAGTCCTGGGGTTTAACAAGCCACTCCCACGAGTGAAGCCTGGGCTGAGTGCAGGCAGAGGATGACAGGGAGGGAGCAGAGTAAAGAGAGGAAGCGGCACTGTCAACACAAGTGCCTCAGAGCCCCCCTTCCTAGGAGGCATCGCAGGAGGAGGATCAACTTGGGTACTAAGCTGTTCTAACATTTGAAAACTAGAGCCTATGAAAGCTAAAGATTTGTGTAGCTACCACATGATGATTTGGAGAGACAAGACAGCCATTTAAATCATCAGCCAACTAGGAGGTGGTCCTGAGCACACAAGGA